CTTTTTAGTGGACCTGAAGCTCACTGATGTGGATAGGGTCAGGCTACCTAGCCAGTGACCTTCAGAGATTTTCATGTCTTCAACTACTCCTAGAATTGGGGATATAGACATGTCATATCAAACCTTGGTTTTACAATGATGATGAGGATCTGAACTCAGGTCCCCATGTTTGCAAGCCCATTGCCTACTGAGACACATCCTCTGCCCTTCCTTTTTTCACTTTGGTGCTCTTGTTGAAAATTAGCGTAATTTGAGGGTTTATTTCTTAATCTTCTTTAGTTCCATTCATTCATATGTGAACATATGTGCTTGTAAAGAATGATCTCTTTAACTGTTTATTTGTAATAAAATTTGAAATTTGGAAGTCTAAGTCCTATATTTTATTTTCTTTAAGGCTAGTTTTGATTATTATGTGTCCTGTGTAATTCTGTATAAATTTTAGGATGATACTTTTATTTAGGCAAATAAATCAGTATGAATTTTCATAAGAATTAGATTGGCTGTGTAAATCAGTTTGAGGTATATAATCATGTTAGTGATATTATGTCTTATAAGTTATAAATATGAGGTACTTTTCTGTTTAGAGCTTCCCTAATTTCTTTTTCAATATTTTACTGTTTTAATGAAAAAGTCTTCATTGTTATATATTTCTAAGTACTTAATGTTTTTCTATGTTACAGTAAATCAAATTATTTCCCTTTTTAACCCATCTATTCTTTTTGTATTTAGAATGTACTCACAATAATTGTACATATTTCTCACATATTGTACATATAGCATGACATTTCTATATATTAAAAATATATAGATCAGATGAAGTAACTGATGTAGCCATCATCTCAAACATATCTTTGTAATAGCAAGAGTCAGGAATTATTTTATTTCTTTTTCAGATTGCTCCTTTGATTTTTGTATATTGCTATAGTTTGGATATTTCTCCTCCAAAAAGCATACTTGGAAAACTTAATCCTTACTGTACAATAGCAATGAAAGCCTCCACCCTCAAGACTAGATTGTTACTGATTATAAAAGGACTTAAACTCTGAATTTCATCTCTTTTGTTTTCTTTCACCTCTTTCTGTAATGATGGCTCTCAACAGGTGCTGGACCCTTGATGCTGGACTTTTCAGCCTCTAGAACTATAAGCCAGTGCATTTTTATTTACTATAAATTACCCAGTCTCAGGTATATTGTTACAGCAGCCCCCAAATGTTCTAAGATATATATCAACCTTGCATTTGGAAACCTTGATTAATTGATTTGAACAACTGTAACCAATGTGAGAAAAGATAGACTATATTTAGGATAAGCATAGACTCAAGACTATAAAATAGTTACTCTACTTGGTTATGTTTGTGACTATTAGTGCTTCCAAACTTTAATATTAAACACCTGAATTCTCCCCTTCTAGAAATGCCTCAGTTTATACCTAGGAGCTTTTATTTATCTTTCAAAATACAATTTATTTCAAGTTATAATACCTACACTACATCATTATTCTAATTCTACAGATAAGATGGGAGAGCAGGGTAGAGGAGTGAAGACTATGGCATTTGTGCCACTATTGCAATGGTTGGATTGTTTTTCCAGACCAGTTCTTATTGTAGATTAAAGGATTCACTACTTGGTAACATTGGTGATTATTTTTATTCTTCAGTAGTAGTAATAAAAATAGATGTCTAAAAGATATTTCCCTAAAAGTGTATGGTATGCTCTGTTGTTTTACTGGTGATAATAAATAGAGCATTATTAACATCATCCCTAAGGTGTCAGACTACAAGTTTAAGAATATGAATAAGGCTCTGGTCATATATAGCTGTGTAGGAAACAGTAACAGATAAGTAACCACATTCTTACTATTTTTCATCAGACTATTAGAGGATTTCTATTTCATAAGGAAAACATAAGAGACAACTTCTTTTGTCCTTAGCACCTTTTATTGAAGTATTACCCTTGATGACAATATAGCTGGCATATCAATGTCAGCCAAGAGGGGAATGGTGGAGGACACAAATGCAGAAACAGTAAGATTCAGAAAAATAATAGCATTACATGGGATAGACAATTCCCCCAAATTGTACAGCAAATACTGATTCTTTATCTATATACAACACCCATGCCCACCCCCTTTTTAAGGATGTAATCTTCAAATAATACAATATCCTGCCACAGAATTATTATTGGCATACACAGCTCCTCTGGCAAAGAAAAGGAGCTGCCAAGTTCCACATAGGTAAAAGTAGCCAGAAGTACACCCAACTTCCTCCATTTGAGGCTTACTACAAGAAAATCAGCACCTTCAGGGAGCCTAGAGTTGAGGATATGATTCTGGTATCCCTGAGGCAGCTTTCTTGGCACAAGAGGTTAAGTGGCAAACAGAAATATGAATTCAGTCTTGAAAGGGGATTTTTACATTTCTACCCTCTTTCCTACGCATCCAATTTCTCCATTTTCAGGGCTTTAATTTCAGTATATCTGTCCCATTCTCTTAGATTCCACTTGGGTATTTACTTCTGTATATTAGCTAAGTGTTCAATCATGGGATTTGATGACAGTCAATTATCCCTGGGGCAGTAGTAATCTTACATCAACTCTCTTGTATCCACCACCTTACTTTCCTATTCTTCAAAGAGATTTATGTAAATATTTGAAGGGAAAGAGTGGAAGATCAGTAACCTTTGGTGGGTGAATGTCAATATTTTAACCTACTTTCACACTGCTATGTTTTCTCAGAGGCCTAGGTCCCAGAAACCAAGACCAGAGAGAGATACCCCATGGAAAGTACTTTGCAGCGATGTTCCTCTCTGTGGAAATGCCACAGCAGGAGTAGGGCATGCCAGTGTTAGTTTAACATACTGAGCTTTGTTACTCAGTATAGTTTTGAAGTTATTTTTCAAATACTTTTGTTAGTTTAGCATACTGAGCTTTGATACTCAGTATAGTTTTGAAGTTATCTTTCAGATACTTTGGAAAGTCAGCCCTGTATTCTCAATCCAACTGTACAAACTATTTTGAGGTGGAATGAATGACAAAAATGAGAATTAAGGCTGGGGTTTTAGCTCAGTGATACAGCACTTGCCCACTACACATAAGGCCTTAGGTTCCACCTCCAACAATAGCAAAACAACAAACAAACACAAACCACAGTTAACAGTATTTTGGTATCATCTACTTAAGGTATAATAAATCTATCAAAGGCTAAAAATACCCAGCCTATGGCCATGATATCTAGTAAAGTGACTTCTCCTTGCTCTACTGGAGTCAAACACATTTTAGAATGATAGAACATATAACTCTCATCCTAGTACAAGACATTTCAACTTCCTTATTGATTGTCCTAGGGCCCATTATTAAAAGAAGGTAAGGCCAGTGTGGCTTTTATTCGAAGCATTTCCTCACCTCTTTCAATTTTCCTTTGGGTAAGTTATCAGCTGTCCTTATAGGGTAGCACAGAACAGTATAACACAGCATAGCACTGCACAGTACTTCACAGCACACCATAGCATAGCACTACACAGCATAGCAAAGCATAGCAGCTACAGAGCTTCACTGCTCAGTATAGCTTAAGGGTTATGTTTATAATAACTTGTAATCTTCCACTTGAGGGGAGAATGGCAGGATTGATATGCTAACAGTGCTTATTGTAGAGGCAGCAATACTAAAAGGCATACCCAGTGACCCACAGGAAAGGTTACTGCCCCTTTAGAATACCCTGCTAACCAAGATTCTCCCACAGTTGTCAAATACAGCATGAAGAGAATGGAAGCTAGTGACCAGCATTTTCAGCAACCATGAAGTTCCTTGGCAAATTCTTTGGTTGAATGAGGTAACACTGCAGCTGCAATGAACCTCTTAGGATCCTGAGGAACTCCGTGGTAACAGGTAGTGATGCTGGAGTTTGGTTTTGGGGGGCTTCTATGGTATTATTAGGGGATAACATCAAGAAATATACCCAGTTAGTAAGAAACAGAAGATTGAGCTAGATAAAAGGATGGTTTGGAACGAATTCCCATGTTGCGATTGCCCCCTGACTGCTTTTCCAGGATAGAAGCTGGCTATCAATATCAGGTCTTGGTAAAAGCAACAACTTCAGTTCATTGTACCTTAATCCCTCTTACCCCTTTTACTTTCCATAGTTTCAGTTCTCATGATCAACCATGGTCTGACAACATTAAACCATTATATTATAGAGTCAAACAACTGTTAAAATTTAAATTATGTGCCATTCTGAGTAGTGTGATGAAATTCTGCTCCATCCCACATGGATCATCAATCATCTATTATCCAGTGTATCCATGCTATACAGGCGATCTCTCTTTAGTTGCTTATTAACCCCTTCAGTGATGATATTAACAATGGTGATATATACAGGCTTTGGTACTATCCAAGATTTCAGGAGTCCACCAGAGGAGATACTTTAGTACATAGGCCCCGAAGATAGATAAGGAGGGATGCTCTATGTCTAGATCTTGGATGGATCATAATTTGTTCTAAGGCCTGACCCTGGCTAAAAATATTCATAGCTTTGGTTCCTTGAGCTAGCCACTGGTTGAGAAAACAATTGTTAGGAGAGGGCCTTACACACTCACCCTCATTCATTCATGTAGCCTCTGTTTTTCAGTTTTAGGAGAGTATTCTGGTTTCAAAAAGCAGTTAGAAAACACTGAATTCTACTCAGGAATGATAAGGTTAGTGTCACCCACACCTCACAGAAGCACACAGTCAAGCTATGGTAGGGAGGCTATGAGTTCAAGAGGAGAAATTTCTTAGATTATTGAAGCTAAGAAATAAATGGTAGGAAGAATTCAATGCCCTGGCCCATGCTTACTTAGCCAGGGTGAACCCAGGCTTATGTTTTCCTTCTGACTAACTTCCCCCTCTCTAACTTATTTTGTTCTTGCCTCATTAGTTAAAAACGAAAAAGAAACCATAAGAATAAATAAAATCAAAGACCATTTAAAATATAATAAAATCCCCTTTCCCAATAATGAAGCTATATCCAGAAGTCAGCTGCAATACAGATATGAGAGGCTCAGAGAGCAAAGCCCTGGCATGCAACTACTAGTGACATCAGAGCAACATACAGTATAAAGTAGCAGGCCCATCAAGTGAAGATGGGGTGAAGGCCACAGTAAGAATGCTATTGGAGAGGGTAGACATGGAACCATTTTGCTTAAGTCTGGCTATTACTGGAGGGGAGGAAGGATACGTGGACATACCTCACTTTTGCTCCCCTTATATATAGCATCCCCTTCTGTGCCTCCTGCTGTGAAGTTTGGGTGAAGCCCTGAAACTGGTGTGAGGTGAATGTAGTCAAGTCAAGCAAATCTGTGTGGAAAATGGCTAGCTAGCTCACTAGCTTCAGGGAAGAGGAAAAACTGCATGGGCAGTTTGGCTCTGAACCTTCAGAGGGTAGTGGGGTGAGGGAGAGTTTGTGAAGTCTTTGGTGTCTTAGTACAGAGATGAAGGCACTTTTTCATTCCCACTCACTGGGAAAGAGCATGGTAGCATGGCCACACCTTGCTGTGGCTCTATAAGGTAGAAGCTTGAAGCCTTCTCAGGCTCTCCTTGATGGCTGGCCAAGGTAGACAGCTGGAACCATCTGTAATTTCTATATACTTGGCTACCAAACTGCTACTGAAGATTGAAGGCACTTTGCATTGTGGATGGGCAGAGTTCAGTGGCACACTCCTGGTAGAATTAGAAATTGCTGGGCCCCAAGTGCAGGCTCTCTTTGAGGCATCTAAGCTGCTCTTCCCCAAGCTTGATCTTTTCCTCCAGCTCTCTCTGTTCAATGATGAGAGCAGATTTCATCTTCACAAAGTGCTGGTAATCTTGGAGCTGGTCTTGGGGCAGGTAGCGGGAGACCATGCTGAACACCAGTTTCTCCCTGCGGTCCACGTGCTCCTTCAGCTCCTTGGCATCTGCCAGCTGGCTCGTCAGCTGCTGCTTCTTCCCTATCAGCACCAACTGGGGAAGCAGAGAACCAATTAAAGTCTATCCCAATCACCAGGCATCTGTGCAGCAGTCTTTCACCAAGGAAGCAGATACAAAGCAGCTATGCAATCTGCTAAATAATCAGCCTTAGATTTCCTACTCTGAAGTTTGCCTTCATGTACAAGCACCCCTATCTTGTAGCCAGAGGAAGACAAATATGACAGCAATTTTGGACAGTGGGTGTGCAATTACCTCTTTCCATCTCTAAGGCTGTCTTGAAACCATGGACAACCACTTGGCTTGATATAGATGATGCCACTGGCAAAGCATTCTACGTCCCTTCCGTTTAACAAACATCACTATAGTGATGTTTTCTATAGGGTATCTCTGTGTGAGTGGACATGCATGGAGGGTGTGCATTTGTGCATATGCGTGTGTATGGAACTCTCACGGTGGATTCAAAGCGACTTGTATAGGGAAAGGTAATGGGGTTTAATTCAGATATAATCACAGAATGAAATAACCTCTAAAATTAAGGACCTCTTTGCAGTTCTAAGGGGATCAGAAGCAAATTTACTGCTGCTTGCTTTCCCTGTTGCTGCTGCTGTTACTGCTTCTGCTACCACCCCACCTTTATCACTACTATCACCACCACCACCATTAGCAGCTAGCACTAATTCCATTTTACTCTGTTTGGGACCCTATTTTATGCAATTAACTTGGATTATATCAGTCCTCACAGAAAACACATGAAACAGATTTGTATGCTTATTTCATTTTGTAAATGAAGCAACTGAGACAGAGTAAGGCTAAGTAAGTTGCCTATAGTCACACAGCTAATAGGCGGAACTAAAATTTCACAGGACTTAAAGGCCAGTGGTTACACTTTAAATAATGTTTTTTTTTTTCTGTCTCTTTTAAAAGTTTAAGAGGCATTTCTTCCATTTTCACCCTCAAGGACCCCATCTGTACCTTTTCCTGGTTGGCTTCTGAATCGATGCTGTTGAGAGCATTCTCTACCCGGGCCAACCGACCAGAGAGTGACAGCAACAGGTTGACTACTTTGTCCAGGTCCCCAATAAACAAATTATACTTTTCAAACTCATTCGATTTGCAGACAGCTTTCAAGTTGGCCTCTACCTCTTCTCTGAGGGCAGAATTGGCATTGATGTCATCCAATAGCCCACGCTGGGCCTCCCGCAGGACAGAAAGTTTTCGACTAATGCTTTCAATGAGCTGAATCTAAGAGAGTTAAACAGAAGACAAAGGGTGAACACGGATATCAAAAGAAACTGATTTGGGATTAGCAGAACACTTGCCTGTATTCCTAGCACTCGGAAAGTGGAAGCAAGAGGATTATAACCTGGCCTACATACTGAAACTTTTTGTAAAGGAACAGAGTAAAAATGGTAGGGAAGGAGTTAAAAAGGGAGGGGGGATGAAAGAAGGGATAAGGAGAGGAAGGACAGGAGGGAAAGAAGGAAAAGATAGGTTGGGGGTGAAACCTGAGCAAGTGATAATTCTAGGTTTTTTTTTTTTTTTAAGTAGGTACCTTCCCTCCCTGTTTGACAGGAATCTCCACGTCACCATCAAAGTTGTTGGCATTACATAAGTATTAGCCACGGACCAAGTGACATTTGTAAAATGCAACTGAAACTATAACAGATATGAACTACAGAGCTTCCAAGACTCTACATTAGAAAGAAACGTCATCATATATCTTCTAAACACTTTACAAGCTTTCTTTTGGTCCTCATGACACTGGGCTAGGTCCTTGTCCCCTTAAATCACTTTTGAGGACTTTGGATGAGAATAAAAATTCTGCAGTCACAATGACTGAGTTGATTTTAGCCCTGCCAATTTCTATCTTGCAGGACCTTGGATGACTTGACTTAATTGAGCTTCATTTTATCTCTTTGTACAATGACTGTGGGTAACAGTTGTGTCCATTACATTGACTGGAAGTGATACAATCATAATTAAAGAGACATAGCACAAAAAGTGTTCAATAAAAGATAAGTGACTGTTATAACTATTGGTCAATATGACCCATTACCTCCACTCTTGAGAACCATCCAGGTTTAGCTCTCCACTCTGCTGTATTCCCAATCCTCACTCTTGATTTCCTGAATTGATTCTACAGTTTCACTCGTTTAGTTTCTCTGTACTTAGGCTATTTTATTCCTGTTTTCTCTTCAAGTACAGCTTTGCCCCCACCCTTCTTATAGGAAGTTTTTTCTCAGTGGTCTCTTTATTTTTGGAGCTTTAAAGTATTTTACTCCTAGAGGTTTAGCTCAGTAATAGTGTTTCTCCAGAATACATTAAGGTACTGATTTCCATGCCTAGAACTGCAAACAAGCAAACAGAAAACCACAGACTAAATAAAACAAAAATATCAAGACTTCTAGAATTAGAACTTTATAGGATATGGTGGTTTGAATAGAAACAGCCCCCATAGACTCATATATTTGAATGCTTAGTCATTAGGGAATGGCATTACTTGAGAACAATTAAGAGGTAAGGCCTTGCTGGAGTTGGTGTGGGCTTACTGAAGTAAATGTGTCATTGGGGGATAGGTTTTGAGGTTTCAAAAGCTCAAGCCAGGCTGAGCGTCTCTCCCTTCTTGTTGCCTGCAACATGCTTCCCATCATGAGGATAATGGACTAAACCTCTGACACTGTAAGCCATCCCCAATTAAATGCTTCCCTTTATAAGAGTTGCCATGGTCATGGTGTCTCTTCACAGTGAAAGAACCCTGACTGAGACACAGTGTAATTTGAATTTGTTATAATTCTATTTCATGTGTGTGAGTCTAATATCCTCACTATTTGTCATAAGTTTCTCAAGGGAATTACTGCCTATGTTTTAGTTTTTTGTTGTTGTTTTTTGTTTGTTTGTTTTGTGTGTGTGTGTGTGGTGAAATGTCAAGCAAAACAACTTAAGGGAATAATAGAAGAAACCTTTACTTTGGTGTAGTCTCAGAAGTTCATAATGGCAGCCAGGAGCACAGAGAGTGAGAGCCTGTGTTATAGGTTTTCCTACTCTGTCCCCCCATGACATCTGGACCCCCAGTCTATAGAATGGTGCTGTCCACATTCTGGGCATTCCTTTACTTTTAGTTAATCCTCTGTGGAAATGCCTTACAGCACTCCCAGAGACATGCTTGGCAGTCTCTAGGCACCTTTCAATCTAAGCATTTTGACAATCAAGATTAAACACTGTAGCTTATGTCCTCCAATTTATAGCAATAACCAGTTGGGCAACTGCACTTATAGGAAAGTAATGGGGTACAGTGAATTTTGGAGTCATATAAACCCCTGGATACCACTACCATCTTCTATAAACTCTAAAACTTTAGGTATAAAGAAGTTTACAGCCTACCCTTGTCCAGGGTTGCTGTGACAATTTATAGTAAATATGATCACAGAAGCACAATATTTATTGTTGTTCCTGAGATGGTAAGTGATCAATGCACATTTATTTGTGCTATTATTATCATAAATATTGCTATTACTATTACTGTAATGAATTCATGGATACATGTCTAAGGTTTGTAGTGAGGGCTGGGTCAGTGTTAAAGTGCTTGCATGTAAGCACGGGGACTTAGGCATGAGGAGGCTTCTTACAGAAGCCAGGCACAGCAGAATGTGTCTGTAACCCAGTATAGGTCATTATCTAGACAGGAGAATCCCCAGAGTTCACTGATGATCTAGTCTAGCCAATCACTGAGCTCCACATTTAGTGAGAGCAACTTTTTAAAGAAGAACAAGGCAAGAAGCAACTGAAGAAGGTAACTAGTGTTGACACTCAGCCTCCACATACACACACATATGTGTGCATACATACCCATCCAGTTACACATATTTACCAGATCAAATGAGAGTGAATTAGCAAGCAAGAGAGAGTAGGAGCAAGTAGTTGAGGAGCTGGGGGAGAGAAAGTGAGACCATCTTGTTTAGCTAAGAGGTTCTGAATGTCACACTGCTATCCTTTCTTGCCTATAGCTTTTGTAGTCAGTATTACATGTGGTTAAGATCATGGACTCTAGCAACAGACTATCTGAATTTGTATGTCAGGTATGTCACAGAGTAGTGGCCTAAATGCTCAACAAATTGCTCAACTTCTATGTGCCTAGACTTCTCTACAGGTATAAAAAGACAGGATAACAACAGTGCCCATATTAGAGTGCTTATGAGAATTAAACAAACTAATATATGCATAGGCTAGTATCTTGTACACAGGAAGTAAGCTTCATTCAGTGTCTGACTTATTATTCTAGTTTAGGTGTTCTGAGATTCTTAGGTTTGGAGTGTTCCTTTCTAGTAGTTAATTTGGAAATGTTGATGGTGACCAAAGAGGTTTCAAAGCCCACTGTCAGGAGAAGTCAGGAAATCATCATGATTGTGCTTGGAAGTGTAGAGAAAATGACAAAATCCTCTGAGAACTGGGAATCCAGTCATGTGAGTGGCAAAACATAACTAGGTTTCAAAACATTCTCAATTATTTTCTCACCTTCCACTCTCTCATATAAAAGTCAATGTCAGTGTCAAACAGTGACCCTCTTGGATTGTCACTTACTCACCCAAGAGGGTAACTTCTGAAGACAGAGGAAAGAATTGAAACAGAGGGAGCAGCTTGCTTTTCAGTACCTGGGCTCTATATCCTGAATCTTTAGCCTGGGGAAAGTGTACTGTATGAAGCTGTGGATTTATCACAGGCTCAGCCAGAGCTGTTTTCCTGGAACACTGCAAATTGATGACCTTCCCCCCTCTTTCTTCCTTACACACAAACACAGCCCTATCCCATCTGAAGTCATTACAAATCACTTTCTGTCATTCTGTGCTTTGCCATTTCCAGTCATCTCTCTTCCCCTGGCTAGACTTTCATTATGTTTGTCCCTGGAAAGGCCAGGCTTTCAATAAGCAAGGCCAGCTCTGTCATGTTCAAGAAACATAGACTCCAAGGAAGAGCATCTGGATCAATAAAATTTGACACTTCCATGGTCCAATTATTTCCCTGACATTTTGCTTCAGATGGGAAATTGGAAGGAGGGCTTCTGAAAATGTTCACATGTTTTCCTACAGGTCAAGTCCTGAAAGAGAAATATGGGCAGAAGAACAATTTACATTGAGTTCACATGTCCACAAAATGGTAAATTGGGCCTTTGAGGTTGCCATGACAACTCTATTTGCTTATGAAATAAAATAGGTAAGTTCAAAGGGTGAGGGTAAAATGATTCCAGGAACTTGATTAAAAAACTAGGCTACTGGTACTTAGAGGAAGAAAAGGGAGGCTTAGAACAACAAAAACAATATCCCCATTTTCGTATTTTGTATTTTCAAGAGCTAATTGAACGTCATTGCAAATAAATAATAGTCTGCCAGCCTATAATTTCTCCTTAGTCAGTCTGTTCTCTCTCCCAGAAACTTACAGAGAATACAAATTAATGGCACTGCCACTGGCCAGAGCTCTGATGTGCCTTAGGCAGTGAGTTAGATTGCTTAATTTAAAAGGACAGTATGGCACAGTTAGAAATCCTGTCCTGCCTTCCAGTCCAGGACCTATAATTTAGTCTGTAACCCTTGCAAAAGGTAGTACCTTTAGCTGGATAAACAAACAAACAAACAAACAAACAAACAAAAGTCGGGGCAGTAGTAACACTTAACTTACAGGGCTAAAGCTTAAGTCAGTGCTAAAACACTGGCCTGGAAAGTGCAAGGCTCAGTGTTCAGCCCTAGCACTACAGGAGGGAGGGGGGAGGGGGGAGGGGGGAGGGAGGGAGGGAAGGGAAGAAAGAGAGACAAAGATGCAGACAGGGAGAGACAGATGAGAGAGAGAGACATAGAGAGAGAGAGAGAGAGAGAGAGAGAGAGAGAGAGAGAGAGAGAGATTGAGACTCTTTCAGGCTGAGCATTGAGATCAACAGCCAAGTACCAGCTTTGCACACATAAGGTCCTGGGTTCAATTTCCAGTGAGACAAAAACAAACACAAACATACACACTCCTACCTGGGTTCAGTCCACAGTGTAATACACACACACACACACACACACACACACACACACACACACACACACAGAGAGAGAGAGAGAGAGAGTGAGAGAGAGAGAGAGAGAGAGAGAGAGACAGACCTACAATGAGATAGTTCTAAGGATTAGAGAGAATAATTACTGCCACTGCTATTGATTAGAGAATAGACCAAGGAGAGACTCAGGAATAAAAGACAAGCTCAAGCTTGTGGAAGGGCTGGCTGTCATTCACACACTTAGCTAAATGCTGAAAATCTCTGGGATATACCAAAATCTTACCTTTTTTTGAGCCAGTTCATAGTCAACTCCCTCCTCTCCCAGGCCTGCCTCTGCCATCTCAGGCTGCTCTTTTAACTTATTCAGCAGTTCTGCCTTGGCCACAGAGATATTATAATATGCTGAGTAAGAGGTAGGGATTCCCGGCCCCCCCGGAGGAGGTGAGAAGTGCAGAAACTCTTGTCTGTGGAAACAAAAGGTAACCACTTTGAGCACTTTTGTTGAGAGACCACTCATGCTTCTCTTTCCTTAGTTTTCTCTACCTATAACAGGCAACATGACTTTCCCTAGTTATAATAAAATGGACTAGAAGGCCTCATTTAAACATAAACAGGCAATAGGAAGATTATCTAAAAGCCAAGGCAAACTTTAAGAACACAGACATCTATTTCCATGCCCTTCTATGTCCCTGACCTTAGTAGTTTACAGGACTGCTTTATCATTTGGCTTGGTCATTAATACCCTACTCAAATATAGAAGAACTAACAAGACCTCAAAATTGTGTGCTTCTGATGATAAATGATTCTTCTTAGTTCATGACCTTCAGGGAGGGGCTGGGTAAGAGAAAAATAAGTGTTCTTCTAAGCCTGATGACCTCTCCTCTACCTAAGTATAGACCCTACTCAGCCCAGCTCTATATGATCTGCATGTTTACAAAAGTACCCCATGACTTTACTCATACTCCTTTCTTTTATCCCGATGCTACTCCTTCTTGAAATGGCACCCCTGCTGTAGCTATCCCATAGTGAAGAGGTCACCTGGGACCTCAGCCACAGTCGCCACTTTGAAAGCTGGGATTAGCATCCCTGCCAAGGACTTGTCACAGCCCAACACATCTCTCATAAGCTCTTCTGACACTGCCTCTCATAGGGCAGCCCTTTGGCTGAGAATGGACAGTGCCTCTCTACTTGTAGCATATTCTCAGTGTCCTCCGTCTCCTGCATATTTGCAGAGTGCAATGGGGAGGATGAAACCAGTGATACCCAGGGGCTTGACAAGTGTAGGAGCAGACCCTGTTCCCTGTTGCCTTGTGTTCGCTGAAGCCTATGGGGACAGAATGTTGCTTCTCAGAGTCCCAGTGAGTGAGACTTTTTCCTCAGGAAAGAATTAGCTCTGGCTCCACCCTGGCTTAGGTTTAGACTAGTAGAAATAAGGAAAATGAAAGCTGTAAGGTCAGATTTCAGTAACGGGGGTGGGAGTGGAGAACAGTTCCTCCCAGGGTGTGTTTTGTGTATGTATGTATGTGTATGTATATATGTATGAATGTATAGTGTTTATGTGTGTGTATATATTTCCTCTGCCTAGCAGCTATTCCCACCATCCATCTGTCCGTGTCACCAGCCCTTTATAACCTCTAGCTATTTAAAAGGGAAAATAGAAGAAACTCATTAGTCATTTTTGCAGCTGTTTGTAGCTCTTAGATAAAGGTCAAATATAATGGCTTAACGGTCTCCACAGCTATTTACTGATTCATATATGCTGTATCTTAATTCATCACACAAAGGCAACCTGAGTATGCCAATATTCCTCATTCTATTGATACTTATTTTACACATAGGCTTTCAAGATTAGAACTGTAATACTAATATATACACAGTGCTTGCTATACCCCAGAAACTGTTCTAAGACATGACATGTGCACATATGGACATGCACAACTGAATGATCATCATAAGCATTTTACAGTAATATGAAGAACCAAGAGGTTAAAATTATATTCCCCAGGTTATCAGCCAGTAAATTGCATACTAATGGCAACCTGACTCCACATCTGTGCTTTTATCTGTTATGTGACAGTGACAAGTGAACAACTTGATACTCTACAAGGCCTTATTTACTGGTAAGGAACTTTCTAGCTGTACTATGTCTTTGATACCAGAGGAGAGATAATATTATGGAGTTAATACAAATAAATGAACTTTGATTGTTCCTATTTATAACATTTTTTTTTTTGGTACACGTCAATGTTCTGAGTTAGAAAGTATAATGATCAGAAGTCCCGTGCTACATGGAAAGTCAGTTCCTCGGCTGCTATGGTCCTGCATTACATTATAGTCGATCATATAAGCACTGTGCTCTAGGGTCCTTTTCCTCATTACTTCCCTGAACAGGGATTACAAGAAATCTATAAGAAACTAATCTGAATTTGAAAGTAAACATTAAATGCAAGATCAGAACCTTCTACTGAACAATGACAGATATGCTTAGAGTCTGCATAGGAAACTAGATCTATTCTGCCACTAGTTATTAGACCACAACAATATTTGATCATTTCCATGACTTTCTTCAATATATGTTACCGAATCTGTAACTAAAATGTAAGCATGTAGTTTAGCATGGCTGAAATTTGGAGCTCTTAATTTGTATTTCACACTGAAAAACTTACATGTCTACTGGCCCCAACACTATCTTGTACTTTCCTAGGGTCTGAAAAGAATCTTTTTTAGGACCTGAGATACCAAAATGATGCTGTAGGCAATAAGCTGGACTACCTGGGTTCTAGTTACCTGTGATCTTGTGAGAGAGGTACATTCCTTCCCTTATCTTTACTTTTCTCATTTGGAAGGTGGAGGGTACCTTTAACTCTTTCTAAGGTTTGTCAGGAGAGCCTAAATCAATGGCCCAGTAAACCCATCCTAAACTAAAACTACTTATACTACGTATATCTTTCCAAACCTCACAGCTCAGCAGCACAGCTCATTGTACAGTGTCAGTAGTTTCTCTCATGATTACAGGGCTGACTGCCACTGCTGCCTTCCAGCACAATGAATTTACCCTTGTAACTTCCCTGGCTGCCACCAATGAAGCTTTAGATTACCTAACCCTTGCTAGAATTCCCCTAGTTTCCTATAAAAAGGCCTTCGAGCCTTTGTCTAGCCTCACTATTTTGTAAAATGGTTTGACCCTTGCCTGCAGGTTTTCTTGAAGTAAAACACTCCTGCCAATAGCATATGTGAGTGGTAGTCTCTGCTCGGTGATTTCAGACTTAACAGCATCTTCTGTAGGGATGCAACATTCTGAAAATATCTTTTACATTTTAAGAGACTGGAACTTTTGCTGGACTCCACAGCAGTTACACACAAGACAGACAGACAGACAGACAGACAGACAGAGACACACAGAATACGTCAGACAGACACACATAGGGCCAGACACGCACAGCCACAAATGCTACTTACAAAGACAGAACAAACACACACAGCTCATGACACTTGACAGCCTCTTGATAGCTTAGGAAAAGGTCAACCCCTCACCTTAAAGTGTCATCTCTACTGAGTGTATGTTGCTTTTGCATATTGTAAACCCTAAGATAGAATGCATCACATGTCAGGAATGATCTGTACATAGTTTTTAATCATGCTCAGCACATAGTAAACAGGTGAAGAAACTACAGCCATGATGGAAATGATGTTCTTCCTTAAATCTTTATCATTTGAGGAAACATCTCGAATTGATTTTTTGCCGCTAGAAGACAAGGTTGTGTATAAATGAATGTATTCCCTTGCATCCTATAATTTGTTACGAACAGATCCCTGGAGCAGGTTAGAAGATGTCTACTATAGTGATTTCTTTTTCAGTCACCCAGGTCAGGATAATAAAAGTTCATAAAGGAGGAAAGTCCATAGCCTGGAACAGCTACTTCTGGTACATATTACTCTATAATAGAAAAGACAATGGTATAAAGCCCCAGCCACTAGAAGAACAAAACCTGTTTGAGAGAGGCTGCAGAAGAGGGAGGAGGAGGAGGCCATGCCAGCTGCAACAGCCTGGATTTAGTGGCAGATAGATCTGGATTTAGTCTTTGATGCAAACACTTAATTAATTAGTCCCTTATTTTGCTCAACTTCAGCTACCTCATTTGTCAGATGGAGATAATAATGGACAACAGGAATATTGGGGAGAATAACTTAAATCATGCACATTAAACACCAGGCAGTGTCTGGCACATAGAAAATGCTCAATTGAAAACTTATTTGATTATCTATTTTGTCTTTTGAAATATTAGTTCAGTGCCTACTATCTGCCAGGGAACCTTTCAATCTCTCAGCTGTGATATACAACCACAGCACAGTTAATTTTTGCAGCCTATTTTCCAGTTGCAATAAGACAGCTTGAGAAGCAGCCACATGTGGTCTGCTAGCGGCTTCTCACAGAGCATAGGAGCTGCAATTTATAAATGCTTCTTTATGGCACCTCAGAGAACTGCTCAATCAGCTCCAGATAACCAAGTAACAAGATTAGCCTGTCCATAAAAGTCACACAAACAAGGTACTTCTAATGGCAACTCCTCTTAGGCAAGATCCTGTTATAAAAAGATTTAAAGAAAGCAATTAGGGGACACCTGTCTGCTCATCCCCAGTGGAGCTCTGAAAGAGGGCAGGCAGAGAGAGCTACAAGCCCAAGCAGGGAGCAATGGAGATATTTCTGTGTGGGAGCAAAAAGACAGACACACAGTGAAGATGCATAGATGAACATTCACTTAACAATCAGTTGCAGTCTACAATCCTGTTTTGATCTCTCAGCCCAAGCAGCTCACCCTGTCAACTCTTGCCTACTGTCTGGCAAAGCAAATGCAAAGCAGGGGAACAAGAGGGTGAAAAAAGGGGGAGAGACAAAGAGTGCCCTTAGCTGTTATAAGGAATTATCACAGAGTAAGTGCCTAGCTCCAGCAACACCTTTCTTCTGGGGTTGGGCGAAGAATTCAGAAGCCCAGGCTACTTTGGTAGAACAGACAGGAGCCATGTTTCTGGAAAGGCCTAGGACAAGCTAAGAATGGTTTATGCTTTCAGGAGCCAGATATTAATGTATACCTTAAACATACACTGAGAAACAATATCATATTTTATTTTTTCAAGACAGGGTTTCTCTGTGTAGCCTTGGCAGTCCTGGACTCACCTTGTAGACCAAGCTGGCCTTGAAATCACAGTGATTTCCTGCCCCTGCCTCTGAGTGCTGGGATTACAGGCATGTGCCACTGTGCCCAGCATATCATATTTTCTTAAATAAATCTTAAATGATGTGGATAAAACCTTTAAACTCCATTTCCTGAGCTCCTACTATGCACCAAGCATCTATTTACATCTTATTTGTGTAATATCTTAATAGTAAGAACCAGGGACATCAGGTACAACATCATGCCTGTTTTCCAGATAAGAAGAATGTGTCAATATCAGACAGATGGCAAGTGGGAAAGATGAAATTCAATTCATAGTGCTGGCTGCCTTTTCTGGGACCCAATATCTTTCTGAAACACTTACTTTGGGGTCACAGTAGCTTCTTGCTCAGTTGTCTTCCATAATCCATGAGCACCATAATGGCAAGGAGGTTGAGCTCTCTCAGGCTGGGTTCCAATGCGGCCCCTTACTGGAGGCACAAAATCACTGGGAGGCAGAGCAAAGGTCTCTTGCTCTGGGAGGCTCTGTGAACCCTGCCTGGAGGCCTCCCGGTGGCCCACCTTCAGGGACTGTGGCTCCAGGCCTTTTTTTGGATGAGGAGCACAGGAACCAGTGGTTTCTGAACAAAAATATTGGGGTGGTAGGTCCTCCTCTTTATCCCCTTCCTCCTCCAGCCCTTGTTTCTTCTCCTTCTCCTCTACTTCCTCTTCACTTCGCTGCTGTTGTTGTTGTTGTTGCTGTTGCTGTTGTTGTTGTTGTTGCTGCTGCTGCTGCTGTTGCTGCTGTGCTGCACGGAAGAGCCTATATTTTTCCCAGTTGGGAGGAGGAGGGCGAGGAGGAGGAAAAGCCTTTTTCCGGGCCCCGAGATGATCTGGCTGAGTCTCATTGCCTTTAGGAAATGGTTCCCTCTGATGCTTCCCCCAGGCTCGGGTGTTTTGAGACTCTAAGCTAATGTGACTCTCTGAGAAGGCTCGGCTCCTCAGTGGGCAGGGCATGGAGGAAAGGGAGCTCCCATCCTCATAAGCTGCAGATTCCTCTGGTTTGTTTTTGAAGTCTCCAAGGAGGTCAAGAGAAGAGACTGCTCGGTGGTTTGACAAGTCCAGTGGTGGGTTCTCAAGGCAAGGATGGAAGGGAGTAGACCGTGACAAGCTGGCCTGAGAATGAGCCATTTCCCTGCAAAACAGCAGATAAGCATTGACCGAGACAAGCATGTGGTTGATGGGCACTGTATTTTGAAGGACACAATTTCTATAAAGTTGAAATGGCCATAAAATTCTAATATATGTAGTGAATATAATAGACATAGTAATAAGAACATAATAATGATGACAGGAAGCACTTTTTGTGCATCAACTAAGTACTAAACACTAGTGCAGTGGTTCTCAACCTTCTTAATGCTGTGACCCTTTAATACAGTTCTTCATGTTGTGGTGACCACCACCCCAAACAATAAAATTATTCTCATTGTTACTGTTATGAATCATTATGTAAGTATTTGATATGCAGGGTATCTGATATATGACTCCTAAAGGAGTCACAACCCACAGGTTGAGAAACACTGCACTAGTGTATACTTTCAATGCTTTCCATATTTAAATTTCTTTGCTAGGAGGTACCTTTTACAGTTGGATTTTATAGTTTGGGAAAGTGAGACATAGTTAGGGTAAGTAAATTGTTCAGGGTTATAAAAGTTATGTGATAGAGCTAGGATTTGAACTTGAACTGTTTAGTTATGAATTCTAAATATAAACACATACCTCAGTCTGTTTATAGCACTCAGATTGGATAGGCAATAGTCTAAGGTTTATAATCCTGTTACCCTGCTTTATTTGTTGATTTTATCTATTTTTAGCCATGAAAAGTTTCTAGTGTTTAGAAATGTATAGTAATTTCCATAATGGATATCCCATAAGGGATTCCATAGCTGACAGTCCCACTTACTATCCAGAGTCAACATGTTTTAATATTTTACTATGTAAATTTTATGAATTTTTCTTTTGCATCACTCCTCATCTCCATTTCCCTACTGCCAATTTGATAAAAAAACAATACATTATAAATGAACTACATATAGCTTCCCTGTGCAATGACAATACTAAATAATCTATTCACAAGTATCTGCCACTTTTGGTTAAAAAAAAAAAAATATATATATATATATATATATATATATATATATATATATATATATATTTCAGATACACTACAACCTGAAAATACAAAAAGAATCCATAAATTATAAACATTTCTGAAAACTAACTTTCCAAAGTGGGCAGAGTATTGTATTAAGGAGTACTCTGATACAGAAAAATTGAGGATGGGGTAAACAAGGATTAATCAACTGAGCAAAGTTCACATGAACTCAAAGAGATAGAGGCAGCAAGCACGAGTCTGCACCAGGTCCTCTGTGTGTTATATTATACCTTTCAGTTTAGGGTTTATATGGTATTCCTGAGTGTGTCTCAGATTCTAATGCCTTCTCTTCAGCTCCTTTCCTTCTGTTGGTTTGCCCTGTCCAACTTTTATGTGAGAGTTTGTTTCATCTTATTGTATTTTATTTTGTAGTATTAAAAAAATGAATGAATGAATGAGTGTAAACCTAGCCATTATGATAAAGGTTAACAACTGAACTTTCACACCTGCTAGGAAAGGCAAAATCAGGGTTTCCCCCCCCCAATAAAGTGACATGGGGTATATCAACCACTCTAGGGCAGGGCTCATGTGACAGGGCAGTAGACCAAGATATAATGGACTCCACAGGGTTTTGTTTGTGTGTGCTTGTATTTGGATAGAATTTTTGGGTTTTTGTTTTTTGTTTTTTGAAGTAGGGAAGTTTTGTTTTGTTTTCTTGGTTTTTAAAATTAATTTATCTTTTATTAATTATAGTTTATTCACTTTGTATCCCAGCTATAGTCCCCTTTCTAATCTCTTCCCAATCCCACCCTTCCTCCCTCCACCTCCTTCCATGCCCCTCCCCAAGTCCACTGATAGGGGAGGTCCTCCTCCTCTTCCATCTGACACTAACCTATCAGGTCTCATCAGGACTGATTGCATTGTCTTCCTCTGTTGCCTGGTAAGGCTGTTTCCACTTTAGGGAGTGGTGATCAAAGAACCATCCACTGAGTTCATGTCAGAGACAGTCCCTGTTCCCATTACTAGGGAATCCACTTGGATACTGAGCTGCCATGGGCTACATCTGTACAGGGGTTCTAGGTTATATCCATGAATGGTCCTTGGTTGGAGAATCAGTCTCAGAAATGATCCCTGTGCCTAGATATTTTGGTTTTGTAGCTCTCCTTGTGGAGCTACTGTCCTCTCCAGGTCCCACTATATCCCCCTTCTTTCATAAGATTCTCTTCACTCTGCCCAAAGTTTGGCTGAGTTTCAGCATCTGCTTTGAAACCTTGCTGGGTAGAGTCTTTCAGAGGCCCTCTGTGGTAGGCTCTGTCCTGTTCCCTGTTTTTTTGCCCTCTTCCAATGTCTGTCCCATTTGCCTTTCTGAGTGAGGATTGATTGATCATTTTACCCAGGGTCCTCCTTCTTGCTTAGCTTCTTTAGGTGTACAGATTTTAGTATGTTTATTCTATATTGTATTATAATATCCACTTATGAGTGAGTATATACCATGTGGGTCTTTCTGCTTCTGGGATACCTCATTCAGAATGATATTTTCTAGTTCCTACCATTTGCCTGCATGATTCATGATTTCCTTGTTTTTAATTGCTGAGTAGTGTTCCATTGTGTAGATGTACACAATAATATGCACATAATAAATGTATGTAACAATTTCTGCATATATCCCTCTGTTGAGGGACATCTGTGTTGTTTCCAGATTCTGGCTACTATGAATAAAGCTGCTACAAACATGGTTGAGCAAACGTCTTTGTATACTTGAGCCATCTCTCCAACCCCAGACAATATTCCTTAATCACAATTCAGTAAGTAATACTGGATATACTTGAAATTAATTCCAGTCACGTTAAAATGAAAATGTACAGCATATTGAAAACAAATAGAAGTTTTCCAGTTGTGACAAAGAAAAAAATCTGGAACTTAGAGTATCTAGGAAACATCAGAAGCTAGAGGATATGTTTCACTAAAGTGATAGTTCAAGGAACATTTACAGCTCTCAACACTTCCATTAAAAGATGACCTTGGAACACTCAGCCCTAAATGGGTGTTTCTATCAAATTCCTCCCCTCAGAGTTCAGAGAATTTCCTCAGAAGAGGAGACAGAAAGACTGTAAAGAGCCAGAAGGGATAGAGGACACCAAGGAAACAAAGCCCTCTAATTCAACTGATCAAGGTGCATATGAACTCACAGAGACTGAAGCAACAAGCACAGGGTCTGCACAGGTCTGCTCCAGGTCCTCTGCATACATGCTATAGTTTCCTGCTTATTATTTTTATTGGACTATTGAGTGTGTGAACTAGTGGGTCTCTGAGTCTCGTGCCCTTTCTTTGGCTTTTTCCTTCTGTTGATTTGTCTTGTTCAATTCTATGTGATAGTTTTTGTTTTGTCTTATATTTTATTTTATTATATTTATTTTATTGTTATCCCTTAGAATTCTGTTCTAATGAGAAAAAGAAAGGGAGTAGATCTAGAAGGAAAGGGAGGTAGGGAAAACTGGGAGAAGTAAAGGGAGAAGAACTGCAATAAGGATCTATTTTGTGAGAAAATAATCTATTTTCAAAAAAAGAAAAAATATAATAGGCAAAGTAAAATAAGGGAATTAAGTATTAAGTCAACAAATTCTTAAAAAGAGAATCTAAAAATTGATCTAAACAAAGCAGAAAGATATTAAAACTAATACCAGAAATGAATATATTTGAAACTAAATGATATAACTGATAATGAAAGCTAAAAATACAGGGGTATATGGAAGGGCTTGAAGGAAGGAAAAGGAAGGGAGAAAATATGATCATATTATAATTTCAAAAATAAAATAAATTAATTTTTAAAAAGGAAAAAAATAAAATAGTAAAATTATAAATCATTAACTAATCAAATAGTCTACTCCCAAACACAATACTACATTGCTCACAAACTTAAAAAAAAATTCTTATACTTTCCAGTTTTAAATTATGAATAAAAAACAAGTTATAGCTACTACAGCTGATGGAAATACATACAGAGACCCACAGCCAAACATTAGGCAGAGTTCTAATGTTTGGGGAGTCCTATGGAAGGGTTGGGGAAACAAATGAGGGAGCTGGAAGGGTCAAGGACTCCACAAGAAGGGCCCAGAGTCAACTAACCTGGGCCCATGGGGGCTCACAGAGACTGAACCACCAACCAAAGAACATGTATGCATTGGTCTTAGGCCTCAGATGTGCAGCAGATGTGCAACTTGATCTTCATGTAGGTCCCCGAGCAACTTGAATTGGGGGCCTCTTAGACTCTGATGCCTACCTTTGGATCCCATTCTCATAACTGGGCTTCCTTGTATGGCCTCAGTAGGAGAGGAAGCTCTTAGTCTTACAGTGATTTAATGGGCCAGGGCAGGTTGGTACCCAAAGGGGACCTCTTCCTTCTCTGAGGAGAGAGAGAGGGGAGGATGTTGGGGAGAGGTATGTAAAGAAGGAGACTGGGAGGAGAAGGAGTGGGTCTTGCAATCACGATGTAAATGAATAAATAAACAACTTTTAAAAATAAATTACAGAATTCAATTTGTAAAATATACAAACACAATATGTGACAAGTAGAGAAATAACTACAGATACAGAATAAATGACAACAGTAACCAAATATATCTGGACACAGGGGTCTTTTCTGAGACTGTTTCTCCAACCAAGGACCATGTATGGATATAACCTAGAACCTCTGCTTGGATGTAGCCCATGGCAACTCAGTATCCAAGTGGGTACCCCATTAAGGGGAACAGGGACTATTTCTGACATGAACTCAATGGCGGGCTTTTTGACCTCCCGTCCCCCTGCCCACTGAGGGAGGAGCAGCCCTGCCAGCCACAGAGAAGGCCTTTGCAGCCAGTCCTGAAGACACCTGATAAACCAGGGTCAGATGGAAGGGGAGGAGGTCTTCCCCTATTAGTGGACTTGGGAAGGAGCAAGAAGGAGATGAGGAAGGGAGAGTGGGATTGGAAGGGAATGAGGGAGCGGCATACAGCAGGAATACACAGTTAATAAACCGTAACTAATATTAAAAAAGAAAA